TTGTGCAACTGATCGATCACTATTGTATACTAACTCATTCTTCTACCCCCATTTCACAGGGACACCATGCACAACGTCGGCAACGGCATCCATACATTCACCGTTTAGTTCTACTTTTCACACTTTTACCACAAGTTAGAGACAATCAGTCAATCACTTCACTGATGTCAAAATATTCTCTCACAGAGATATGATAGAAAATCGGTGAGGGATGTCGTTTTGTCTCCATGTAGGTCAGGGCAAATAACCGGTGGTTTGTCATGTTCGGCTGCTCCAGTCCGAAGAAACGGTGGTTACCAATGCAACCGACTAACTGGCAAGAGTTGTTGCTTCGTAATCACACCACAAACTGACTGGTTCTTGCGCGTCTTCCTCCGATTTATAGATCAGTGATCAGATCCTTTTGAGGGGAACGTATCTCTGGTACACGAAATTAGATGGTCCAAACCTAGGCAACTAACAGGACCACATAGCTTATTTATCGTGGAACAGATAGCCGCCTAAAAAAGTAACAAAACAAAGTAATGTGATTCTCATATGCCAAACATGAAAAGGAAAACAACAAACTGAGAGGCGAAAAGGCCGCGTGCGTCATCATTGGACCAAGTTCAGACAGTGTCCCTCTGATAAATAGCATGAGACCGTTGTATTTTCGCACTCGCACACGCTTGAACGCACTCGTACGCACTCGCACGCGCCCAGTCGCTCATTCGGGATATAGCTGTAGTATCCTTTACGTGAGTATTTTTCAGGCACTAGGCACTGGATCCGGGTCGACTGTCAGACACAATACATTGGCGAAAAAGCAGACACAACAATAAACTGAAAATCGGAAGAAAACTAGGGACAGAGAGAGCGAACTCACAAACGAGCAAAAAAACACGAAACACGCGAAATACCGGAACAAGCAAGCCACAGCAAATTATAAAAAGTAAAAACAACACAGCAACAATTCAATAGAACGAAAGACCTACCACCACAATGCGAGCAATCCGAAAAAGATTCTTCGCCTCCTTCGGTAACTGCTTCTTCTTCGCCAACCTCTTCTTCTTGTTCTACTTCGTCTTCTTGTTCTTCTGCTTCTTCTTCCCCTGCTTGTTCTTCCTCTTCTTGTACTTCCTCTCCTCCTTCGTCTCCTTCGGGAACTGCTTCTTCGTCGCCAACCTCTTCTTCTTGTTCTTCTTCTTCTTCGTCGTCGTCTTCTTCTTCTTCTGCTTCTTCTTCCTCTTCTTGTGCTTCTCCTTCTTGTTCTACTTCTTCCTCCTCTTCTTCCTCTTCCTGTTCTCCTCCTTCGTCTCTTTCGGTTACCGCTTCTTCTTCGCCAAACTCTTTTTCTTGTTCTTCTTCCTCTTCTTGTTCCTCTGATTCTTCTTCCTCTTCTCGTTTTTCTTCTTCTTCTTGTTCTTCTTCTTCCTCACCTTCTTCTTCTTGTTCTTCTCCCTCATCTCCTTCGGTAACTGCTTCTTCTTCGCCAAACACTTCTTCTTCTTCTTCTTCTTCTTCTT